GCTCGCAGAACAGGAGTGGCCTTACTCTGCCTAGGTCGGACTTCCCAGGGACCGAGGCCTCTGAACCCCACCCTCCAGTCCCATTCCCTTCCCTTCCCTTCCCTTCCCTTCCCTTCTCACCCTTTCCAGCCATCCCTCTCTTTTTGTCATCTCACTGAGATCCCTCTGAGATCCCTACCCTTCCCAAACATGATTATGTTTTAACCTCATGGACTTAGAGATAAAGGAGGAGTAAGGGCCAAGAGAGTCTGGGGGTTGGGGAGTGATGGGGCAGGGGTCAATGGTGGCAGCCATGGAATGGAATGTCAGAGTCTGTTGTTCAACCTCTAGGACTCAGGGTACTTTTTAAGTGGAGAGAGAGGGTCTGACTTCAAGTAAGTCTGATTATTTCTGGTCCACCAACAGCAACATGGGAGCTTCAATCCTATAAGGTGGTGGTGATGGGAAAGGAAAGAACCTATGAAATTCTCGCTATGCTTTTATGATACTCGTATCTGTCTTATATGGCATGGTTATCCCTCATCTCATCTCAGTCCGGAGGGTAAAGCGTGTGTCTTGACCCAGGAGGTGGTGCAGTGCAGTGGAACCCAACCATTTCATGTCTGTGTCACTGCACACAGGTGGCTCAAACGCCATGAACTGCAGTTTCTTCTTCTTCTTCTGTGGGACAAATAATAATAACTCTGTTTTTTTTAAAGATTTATTTATTTATGATAGACATAGAGAGAGAGGCAGAGACAGGAGGAGGGAGAAGCAGGCTCCATGCCGGGAGCCCGACGTGGGACTCGATCCTGGGACTCCAGGATCGCCCCGTGGCCAAAGGCTGGCGCTAAACCACTGAGCCACCCAGGGATCCCAATAACTCTGTTTTATAGTGTTCTGGTGACTATGTTTAAGATCTATCAAGACCCTGTCACATCATAGAGACTAATAAAAAGTAGCTATTATTGACCAGGCTTCAGTTTCTGTAAAACAGGGATGATAAAATACCCACCTCATTGAGTTGTTTGAAAGATCAGGCAAGTTAATATTTATAAAGTTCTTAGAGAGGTGCCTAGCGCATGGTAAGCTCTGTCCAAGTGTTATTAAATAAAATTAATCATCCTGTATTTTCCGTGATACCTAGATGTTGCCTTTCCCAGCCAGGTGCTTCTGTAAATACTGCTGACATTTGTCTAATGCACACACAAGGGTTGGGAAAAGGATGAGAGTGGAAATGCCCAAGGGCAGCGGTTGATGAGCCTGGGTAGCATGCTTCTGTTTTCTTCTCCTCCTTGTTTACTCTTCTATCATTGATTCCTCAGTCTAAGCCTCCCTCTCCATCAGCCTCTTCTCTGTTCCCTCCATCTAGTTACTCCCTCTCTCAAGGAGACAGCGACCGTTTCCCAAACTCCCTGTGTGTGCTGAGAAAAAGGGTGAGTGGACACCATAGTTCCACCCACACCATCCATCTCTCCCTCCTAGTGTCCACCTTCCATCCAAACTTTCTGTCCTGGCCTCTAATTCAAAGACCCAGATGCTCCACGGAATGCGGTATCTAATCCTAATGAAGTACTCCTCTATTAACCTCATGTGAGGAATTCAAATGCATATCCCAGAGTATGAGGTGCAGCAAGGAAATAAATTCACCAGAAATACAATGTTACTAAATCCAGTTAGTCACCCTACTGACTTACTTCTTAATCCCTTGAGTGCCAGACAGACGCGTTGACGCGTTTCTAAGGTAACATTTATCGTGTATTTACTCTGTATCAGGTCCCCTCCCAACACTCTTACATGCATCCCCTGTTCCCATTTCATCCTCAAATCACCTCTGCAGGGTAGTTATTCTGATGTCTGTCTTACTGATGAGGAAATTAAAGATTAGAGAAGATAACTAGTAACTTATCCCACTCACAGCACTAGCGCGAGTGGCAGGGCCAGCCCGTAAGCTCTGAAGCTCGTGCTTGCTCTACTGCGTTCACAGGCACCAGCAAGTTCCTGTAGAAGTTCAACTCAGCTGTTTTCTTGGCTTTCTCAAATCTGCTCTTAAGAATCTAGAAGGTTAAGCACCCTTGCTGGCTCAGTTGAGAGAACATGCAACTCTTGATCTTGGGGTCGTGAGTTCAAGCCCTACCTTGGGTATGGGGCCTCCCTAAAAAAATAAAAATCTGTAAGGTTAAACTCTATCCTAGACTGAGAGTTCCCAGTTAAAAAAAATAAATGTATAAAGTGTCTTTGCTGATATTTGCCACTTTTGACTGGCAAGGAAAACATGGGCACAACTTTCTCCTAAACAACAGGTCTTTCATGTTACCCTTTTTTTTTTTTAACGTCCAAAAAGCATCTTTTCTGCTGTACCCCCTCTGCAGGGCCAGCCCCTTCCTTTTTTTTTTTTTTTTGCCAGCCCCTTCCTACTCTCATTCCACAACCTGAGTCTGACTTGAAGAGAGTTATAACAAAAGAACTGGAACAGGAAGCGTTTTTAAACAGGCTGTCCTTTTCTTTAAATAATTAAAGAAGATGCTATCCAAAAGATCAGGTTTTTATTAGCTCTTCTCAAGTTCGCTGTCACCTCCTTTCATCCAAGGCAGGATTGAAGGTTGGGGTGAATGGATGTAGGAAAGTGCCCTAATTTGGACAGGGTGTTGGGGAGCGCATTATAGAGCCTGGCCATTCACCTCCCATCTTGATTCCTTGCCAGTGGAGTGGAGGGTGGGCTTGAATGGCAGGTTTTACGGTTCTTTGGAAACAAATTTAGAGGAAATGAATGAACGAAGTAATGAATGAAATAATTGTTGAGCCTGGACAATAGCGGGTGTATCGTGGGCAGTGAGGCTTTGAGAGCACTAGCTCCAGGACCTTGGAGGGTGCAAACCAAGTAGACCGAGGGAAAATGGGGCGCAGGAAAACAATTTCTAAAAGGGGGGGGAGGGCTTGTGGATGCAACTCCTGCTCAAACACAACTTCAAAATCTCGGCCTCAGCAACACGTTCTCTGCAATGTCACTCTCTGGGTGGAAGGAGCGGGCCTGGAGCCCACCCCACCCAGCGGGGTGTCTCTCAGCAGCCTGCGGGACAATGAAGAGGAAATTGGTTTTCCGGGAAGCAATTTCTCCATCCGCAGAGTAGTTCTGCATTTGCATAGAGGAGAGGTTAGGCTGACAGTTGGAAGGATTCCATCTGCTGCTTGGAGGCCTAATTTCGATGGCTGCCGTGTTCAAAGGACGCTATGAAATGCACTTTTTAATATGGGAAGGAGGGTTGATCTAGAGATCGGGACCGCCAGGCCAAAGGCACTGGCTGGAAAAGAACTCACCCTGAGCCCTTGAGCTAATTCTTTCAGTCTCTCTCCTTTTCTCTTACTAAATATAAAATGAGGTCAAACAGTGCGCCGAGGAGGGGTTAAGGGCAAAATGAAGATTTAATAATAAATATTTATAGGGCCCAGCTCATTACAGGGCTTCTGTAGATCCTTATTAAACACTTGACAGTTAGACTTGTTTCCTTGATTTACACCAGCATTTAGGAGGCCAGAGGGGTTATTAGTTTCTATCTTGTCATTTTCACGTCCTGTTTCTGGGAGGGGAAAGGGAAAAAAAAAAAGGAACCCTGGAAAATAATGTCTACTTTCTACCGAACGTGACCCCCCCCCCCGAAGGAGTAGTCATAGTTCTCGGGCTCCCCTTTGCCTTGGGGCCCAGGTCTGCAAAGAGCGCGGGACCCTGAGCCCCAGCTGGCTTCCAGGGCTGTCCCTTGGCTGTTTAGGGGACTGCCCCACCCCCTGTGGACGGAGCAGGCCCTGTGGGGTTAGGTCAGTCCACTTGAGGAAAGCAGCCCGGAACAATGGCCCCTTTCTGTCCTCCCCCACCCACACCCTGTTGACTCAACCTTCAGAGTTGAGAAAACAGAAAACATTTCTGCCTACGGACCTCCGGCAAGTCAGGTCAGCCTCGCTGGCCTTCCGGTGCCTCAACTAACGATGAGATGAGGGGGATTGGGCTTGATCTCTAAGAACCGCAGCCGGAAATCCCCCCCCCTTTTTTTTCCATTTTCTGGGGCAGCACCAATTCGAATAATCTGTTCACTGTCCCTGCAAGTGCACTTGGGTTTCTCAGGCTTAAATGTCCCAGTTTTGGGTTCTGAAAATATGGTCACTGTATTTATAAGATCACTTCCAGCGCTGACGTTCTATGCTGCTCGGCTTCTAAGTAGGTAACAGCCCTAAGTGACTGTTCTAATTACTAGCGATGTGACCTTGGGCAAGTTGGTTAACCTTGGGGGGGGGGGACTCAGGCCCTTATCTGTAAAATTGGGATAATAAATCTTATCTTAAGGTGGAGAGCTGGACTAGATAAAGGTTCATCTTGTTAAAGATTTATGATTCAATGACTTGGGGCCCGTCTGTTTGGACAAAGGCATAGCTGGCCCCCTGGGTGTTTGAAAGAGGCCTGCAGACTTGTTCCTCAAATAGCCCAGCAGAGGCATCAATGGTGTCCCGGAGGACAATGTCCCTTTGCAACCTGGAGAGGTACCGGGAACACCGTCCCAGCTGCTTGCTGCGGAGAAAGGAATTCTTATGGTGAGGGATCAGTGGCCTCTGGAGCAAAGCATCCTGTAGGATCCTTCTGTGGGGAACAGAGGGAAGCCTCTCAGGAATTCACTTGAAGGACCTGGGAATGTTAAAGTAGTGCTCTCCTTCCCTCTGGTATTTTTGTTATCAAAGAAGATTCTATAGAAAGAGAGAGAGAGGCATGGGGGGATTCAGAGACTCTGAAGCTGGGTGGGGTAACAAGCTGTGTGATGCTGAACAAATCAGAGTCTCTCTGGGCTCACTTTCTGCCTATGATATATCAAGGCGTTTGATTATGCAAGCCCCAAGATCTGTTTGGGGGTCCCTGGCTCTCAGATGGTGAGCTGTGGTGTGGTTGGTGGTGCTGGCCCCCAGCCCCACCTGGTGGGCAGCTGACTCCATAACAGTACCCCAAGGAGCAGGAGGCAGTTGTTAGGGGGAGCAGGAGGATGGGCGCTGAGCATGGGCAGCAGCCGCGGTCCGGGGGCCGCAGGGGCCCAGGTTCTGGCAATAAGAAGTCCAAAAAGCATAGCCAGTGCAAGGAAACCTACTTGACGTATACGTACAAGGTGCTAAAGCAGGTGCGCCCTGAAATTGGCATCTCTTCCAAGGCCACGAGCATCATGAACTCATTTGTGAACAATGTGTTTGCACGGCTGGCGGGCAAGGCTGCCCGGGGCCCAGCACTGGGGCCGGAGCACCCTGATGACCCGGGAGGTCAGGGCGGCGCCACGTCTGCTGCTGCCTGGAGAGCTGGCCAGGCACGCGTACCTGGGGGCACCGAGGCCGTCCCCAGGTACACCAGCTCCAAGTGACCCAGGGCCTTCCGTTAATAAAGAGTGAGCTGCTCCCCCCCCCCAATCTGTGTGTGTGAGGTATTTAGGGGCAGAGAGAACTCCTCTCCCCTTCAAATCACAGATGGGCAACCATGTGTCCCACTGACCTTCCAGGCTGTCAGGGGCGCGGCCTACTTTTTGAGAGACATATTCGATGTACTGTTATCCCCGTCTCCCTCCCCTGGGCCAACTGCCATGCACTGTGCCTGCTAGTGACACATGCTCCCACTGAAAAGAAAAAATAATCCTAGGGTGCTTTGTAAGGATCCCCTAATTGTCTCTTTATTGGGTCAAGAGAAGGCTGTCAGTGCGTTGATGAGAGTTGAGGTTCAAGAGCTGGGAGCCAGGCAGCCCGGCCTGGAGGCAGTGGACAAACCCTGCACAAGGCCCAGCTGAGCGTGGCACCCCGTTTTCCAACCTGAACGCTGAGATTGACTCCTGGTTCTTCTTTCTCCCTTATCTCTCACATGGCACCTGGCACTGGTCCCGGGGGGCCTCCCCCCTGCAGCGTTCTCTCCTCGGCCAGCTGGGCTGCATCGGCCTTGCCTTGGCCTTGGTGTGGGATGCCCCGAAGGCTCCCCAGGTGGCCGACCTGCCACTGCCTCCTCACCGGCTTTCTTCATTCCAGCTGCCCCCTTCCAGTCCATTTAAAAATAAGAATGGAGTTATTTTGAGCACAGAGAAAAGGTTTGAAAATAGTATAAAAATAGTATAAATACACCCAGGAGAGGCAGAAAGGCTCAGTTCTGAAGTATTAAGAGACTATCACTTTAGAAATAGAACAGTTTCAGGGGCACCTGGGTGGCTCATTGGGTTGGGCATCCAACTCTTGATTTTTTTTCTCCAGTTGTGATCTTGGGGTCCGGGGATCAAGCCCCAGTGTGTCAAGTCTGCTTGAGATTCTCTCTCTCCCTCTGCCCCTCCCCCCACTCATTCTCTTTCATGTGTGTGTACTCTCTCTCTCTCAATTAATAAATAATTTTTTAAAAAATAGAAAGAGGGCTCCCTGGGTGGCTCAGCGGTTTGGTGCCTGCCTTTGGCCCAGGGCATGATCCTGGAGTCCTGGGATCGAGTTCCATATCGGGCTCCCTGCATGGAGCCTGTGTCTCCCTCTGCCTATGTTTCTGCGCCCCCACCCCCGTGTCTCTCATGAATAAATACATAAAATCTTTAAAAAAAATAAAAAATAGAAAGAAAGAAAGAAAGAAAGAAAGAAAGAAAGAAAGAAAGAAAGAAAGAAAGAACAATTTCAGGGACACCTGGCTGGCTCAGTTGGTGGAGCCTGTAACTTATGATCTCAGGGTTATGAGTTTTTTTTTTTTATTTGAAGTTTGATTTGCCAACATATAGTATCACACCCAGTGCTCATCCCGTCGAGTGCCCCCCTCAGTGCCCTTCACCCAGTCACCCCATCCCCGCAACCACCTCCCCTTCCACTACCCCTTGTTTGTTTCCCAGTTAGGAGTCTCTCATGTTTTGTCTCCCTCTCAAATGTTTCCCACTCAGTCCCCCTCCTTTCCCTTGTGATCCCTTTTACTGTTTCTTACATTCCACATATGAGTGAGACTATATGATGATTGTCTTTCTCCGACTGACTTACTTCACTCCGCATCATATCCAGGTCCATCCACATCGAAGCAAATGGTGGGTATTTGTCCTTTCTAATGGCTGAGGAATATTCCATTGTATACATAGACCACAGCTTCTCCATCCATCATCTGTCGATGGACATCGAGGCTCCTTCCACAGGGTGGCTATTATGGACATTGCTGCTGTGAACATTGGGGTGCAGGTGTCTCGGTCCTTCACTGCATCTGTGTCTTTGGGGTAAATCCCCAGCAGTGCAATAGCTGGGTCATAGGGTAGCTCAATGTTTAACTTCTTGAGGAACTTCCATGCTGTTTTCCAGCCAGAGTGGCTGCACCAGCTCACACCCCCACCAACAGTGCAAGAGGGTTAGGGTTGTAAGTTTAAGCTCCACGTTTGGTGTAGAGATTACTTAAAAATAAAATCTTAGGGAAAAAAAAAGTGGTTCAGCTCAAATGCTGGTTCTACCACTTTCTAGCTAGCTAGATCTCTCTGTATCTTACTTTCCTCATTTATAAGGTGGGGGTGATGAAAGCAATTCGCTGACAGGTTGTGAGAGTTAAAATAATGTGTCTACATGCTCTGTGTGTTAGCCTTGATCTCTGTCCTTCTCTGGTTTTGTTAGATTTAACCCAATCCATTTTGCAGTCTGGCTTTCCAGAGAACTATCCACTGCACAATCTAATCCTGCCCATGCCTTCCCAAAGCCTCTAATAGCTCCCGAAGGTGGCCTTCAGGACAAAGTCCAAATTCCTTACCCAGGCTTCCTAGAGCCCCCAGTTGTGACAGTGTCAGTGCTATTTTGCAGTGGGATGAGGAAGGTGAGTGAGGCCATTCCCGGCCGGGGACCCCCGTGGGAAAGGAGCAGTCGGGCAGGTGGATTGCAGAACTGTGCAGACAGGTGGCCACCGGCCTTGCTTCCGCAATCGGACATTGGAACTTCATCCTCCGGCCCAGCTGCTTGTCTGCCACGAGACCGTGGGCTGGTCACGGAGCTTCTCTATCTCTTGGTTTTCCCGTGTGACAAAAGGCAAAAAAATGCACCGACTTCATGGGGTCATGGAGAAGTATCAGATGAGTTAGTGACATAAGTGCTTAGAATAGTTGTATGGGGGGGGGGCGAGGGCTCAGTGGCTGAGCCTCTGCCTTCAGCTCAGGGCCTGATCCTAGAGACCCAGGATCGAGTCCCACATCAGGATCCCTACGAGGAGCCTACTTCTCCCTCTGCCTGTGTCTCCGCCTCTCTCTGTGTCTCTCATGAATAAATAAAATCTTAAAAAAAGGATAGTTCTATACATGTGGTCAGCATTTGAGAACTGTCTGCTCCTTCGGGTGAGAGTGCAGGTGAGGCATCTGGCACAGCTTTAGTGAGATCTCAGAGGCCAATGAGGAGCTGGGCTGGGTTTGGTAGGGATGAGGCGGTGGGTAGCGTGCGGGATAGAATTCGGGGTGGGGAACCTCACCTGGGCAACCTGCCTGGAGGCTGCAGCTCAGATTGGGGTGGTGGGGTTTGAGCCGAGGGAAAAGGCAAATGGAAGACAGATCCCAGGACCGGACAGCAGCTGAGCTGCAGGGCTAAGAGATATCTGCCGAGCAGAATTTTCTAGGCCGCGAAGGCACTCCGTGGGAAGTGTCCGTTCATCTAAGTTTGAGCAACACCATCTATCTCCCTGTTTGGAAAGGTTTCGGGCCCATTAGCAGGTTGAAGCAGTGTGGAAACCCTGCAGCAAGCAGACATTTAAAATGTTGATCAATCCAGTATTTGTGAGATGCCTCTCTCTCTCTCTGTGGCTCTCATGAATAAATAAATAAATCTTAAAAAAAAAATCCAGTATTTGTAAAATAGTTTGATCCCTGGACATCCCTCCCCCTTGTCCCTCAGCAATAACACACAGTGACTCCTTGAAGAACAGGATCTAGCGTTGGGTAGGACCCCCCTTTGGAAAACACTGCCCTGGGGTAACACGTGGGAACTGAATAAACACTCACGCTCACACTCACACGGCGGCGCACAATGTTCCTATTTTCCTTTCCCGGTTCTCTGGTGGGCTCAAGCACTGGGGACCCCGGAGGACAGCTTGAAATTAGTGCACATTTCCCCTTCCCCGCCTGGTGTGAATGTCGCCCCCTCACCCTCCCTCCTACCCACTTCCTTCTCAGATAGCCTTGGCCTGCCGCGGAGAACCATCTGGATATTAATGTTGCAATACTGACTATTTCAAGGGGCCTCCTTTTGGCGTTCACTCTAGTGCCCGGTGTTTTACTTCAGTCCCTCTGCATTAGAAGATCATCTGACTCCTTTAAGTGGTTTCTTTGGGGGGTAGTATCATTATTACAATCCTTCCTTTTCTCTGGAATCAAGGCTGTTTTTCCCCCTCAAGGACTTGTTGGCATTTCCGTGAGGTTTATTAATTCTGCTGTGCCTGAAGTCCGTGGCATCCTGTTTGCACTGCAAACAGTAAAATAAAATTCTACCTCAGGATCATTCAGGAGCCTCAGGGTCACTTCTGCTGAAGGAATCCCATCTGGCCTGGGTCAGCATCCTGCCCCAGGAGAGAGACGTGCTGGGACAGGAAAGGAAATTGGACTAGCAGAGGTGAGGTTGACCTTCTAGGCTCTCATCTGAGCTGTGAACATGGGGAGATGCCAAGAGGAGCCATGTGGAGTGGGGAGGGTGATGAGATTGCGTGAAGCACTGGGCTTCCGGGACTTAGCATGGGTAGCCCAGGCTGGTCTCTCTTCTCTAAGTCTCCTCAAGTCTCTCTCAGGGATAAGGAAAGGCCTCCAGAAGATTCTCCTGACATTTCAGCTGTTAACTCATGTGACTGGGCCGCCAGCGACAACCTCAAACAGCAGACTGCCTGGGTCTCTGATCGCTGTGGTCAGAGTTTGGTCCTCACCATCTTGGGCCTTCAGACATGGTCTGCTCCCTCCATCTCCTCCTGCCCCCGTCCTTATCAGCCTGGCATCAGTTCCTCCTCGGTTGTCTGGTGAGAAGAACACAAAGGAAGACTCTGAGGGTTGAACAGACACACCAGTGTCCGTCCTTGGCTTGGAAGCAGCCTGCTATCCATAGCTTACCACGTCCAGGTTCCCTTACCACTTCCAAACGTCTCCCTGTGATTCCAATATTCTTTAGGGTTGGGATGTAGATAGTGTCCTCAGTTCCAGGGGAAACCTGTGTGAAACCGAGGGAGGGAAACCTCGGTTACCAGGAGTCAGGAGGCCAGAAGGTGGGACCCTCAGGCCCTACCGACCTGGCAATAGTGGACCCCGGCAGAAGAGGCTCAGCTTGCATTCTTCCAACAAGAAAGCACTTAGCTTACTACCTTGGCGGGAGGAAGGTTTTGTCCCCTTGGCCTAGCTGATGAGAAACAGACACGACTTGGCCG